TGGGCGATCGTCTTCTGCTATAACCATTGTCCTTAGAAGAGTCGTTCGCTCCAGGGTCCAAAACAAGTGACTCGGTGACTCCTTTTTACTAGACTGTAAAATATACACATCTGTTCCGAGTTTTGTCTTTGACTTCAGTGGGATCGGGGCCTATCTGCATTTCGGGTAGATGCTGCTCGTTCCGGCTGCTCGTTCCATGGTCTTTGGGGAAGACGGAGCCGGAAGCAAATCCTGTTTGTAATTTGTCTGCAAAATACAAGGTAGCAGCACCCTCCAGAAAAGGCAGGCATTTCTCTGCACTGAAGACGGAGCTTTTCTAGGGAACAACCTTAGACTCTGGAACAGATGCCCACCAGACACCAGGACCATTGCAAATGCACTGAAGACGGAGCTTTTCTAGGGAACAACCCTAGACTCTGGAACAGATGCCCACCGGACACCAGGACCATTGCAAATCTCATAGTAGCCTGCTCCAAGGATCAGGCACTCTCCTTTGAGAGGCTTCTCAGACATAAAGCGCAGAGCAGTGCAGACAGGTACAATGGCATTTCGGCAGCCCAAATGCTACCCAAGTAAAACATTCCCACTGCTCACAAGTTTTGCCCTCTGCCCTTGCGCAGGCACACGGGGGGCTTGGGAAGTGGGGAAGGAGAACCACATGAGACGGCTGCAATCCATATTGCTTAATGCACAGTTGGGATGCCATCGCACCGCTCCTGCTTCCATTTTCACTTCCACAGAATGCAAATAGCAATCCTCACGCCATGTCCTGAAGCCCGGGGAGACCTGTGTTTATTCTCTGACATTATGGTGCTACCTGCACATTGAAACCCTGTAGATTTGGAAAAAGGTATGTTAGGACCTCCCTTCCAAGGTTGGTGTTTTAGAAAAGTTAACTCCCCCGAAGAGCTTTTAGCTGATGTATGACAGGGCTGATCCATGCTTGCATCCTACTGAATTGTTTGGGGATTAAGGTTCCCACTTTTCTTTGGCCATTTTGAAAAATGCAGCTGAGACCTTTCTAGGGGGCATTTGCTATTTGCTGCCAGGTCACCATGTACTGGGAAATTTGAAGGGCTCTGTCCCTAGTTTTTAGGGTCATCAGTTTTTAGTCCCATTTGACAGCAAGGCGAGGAAAGGTAAATGATGGCATACTGACAAGCCCATCAGCACTGATCAAACATTTAAAGCTGTGTCTACGGCCGAATTGCCGATTCACTGAATCAGCATCGAATCTTTAGATTCAGATTCGGCCGAATCAAATCAGGGACAGTGATCCGAATCAACGAATCGAATCACTGTCCCCGATTCGAATCCACATCGAATAGGACCCGCTTCGCACACCCCTACTGATCATGTATGATCTCCACAAAATGTCCAGCCTGACTCTGACTCAATGCCATTTCTGTAATCGGTTCACAGTGATTGCAACGATAACCGTCTGCAGCTCCAGTATAGACTCGCAATGAATTATTAAGCTGCCTGCATGAGTCTCCAACCTCGATAGAAACAAAAAGAAGTGCTAGTCAGGAAACTTCAGGTTAAAAGTTCACTTAGTGGGTTTTCTTGTAGTCACGTTGGCCTCTGTATCATGGGGCAAAAATGAGAGAATGGCTTTTTTTCCCCCTGAGGACATAAAATCTGTTACACCAGCTAGCTCAAGTGGAAAAGTTTGTATCCTAGAGCTGAGGCAAGATGGGAGTCCTTGTGGACAAGAGCCTGATGAAGGTCCCGGGAAGGTGATCTAATGGAAGGCAATGAAAGCCGCAAAGTGCTGAAAGAACGGAGTACACGGCGCTGATGCATGCAGTTCACATGGTTTCCACCTCCGAATGTCAGGTTGCCGTGAAGCTGCCCATCCTTGTTAGCAAGGGTAATGTCCTTGAGTGATGTTCAGCAAACACGTCCAAGATATTTGCTAGGATTGAAGCCATATAATCTACACTTGATTTCTCTTAGGTGTCGCTAAGGCTTCTGTTACTGCCTTAGTGAGTTCTATACAACTTTGCATTTTACAGGGGAGTTTGAGGCATAGAGGGAAGGTGTCTTGCTCTGGCTTGCACCAGAAGAGAGCCCCTCTTAAGTAACTAAGTGAGGGTATCCCTGGATAGGATGCAGCCGTCTGCTCATGCGCGTTGTAGGCTTGGTTCCTTGATGATTAACTAGAGCTTACCCAGGGAGTCTAACAGAGCTAGGAGCCAGCCCGAGATCACCCGAGTCCCTGTCTAGTGCCTTACACAGAGAAATCTTTTCTCTCCAGCTGCTAAAGGTTTGTCTGATAATCTCTTCCTCGTTGTGTATTTCCCTTTAATCCCATTCTGTACTTCCACATTTTATCCTTGTGGCAGCTGGTGTTGCAGAGATACAGTTTGCAAAGCCCTGGCTGGATCTCACCCCCTCCATCGAGGTGAAAGAGCTGGCCAACTCCGGGACTTCTCATTAAAAAAAGAACAAAAGTTATTCTTTTTCTCTCTCGGTTGTTTCCTTACTTCCTCCCCCGACAGCATCCTTTGTCACAGGATTAAATTAAATTAAATTTCTTGCTATAAGATTCAAGTCACCTATGGCTTGTAACTTGAATATTCCTTATTACTGTTTTGCCACCTTGCTTTCTGGCTGGGAGACCAGTAAAGGAGTAAGTGAATTTTTGGGGAGATGAAGAGCCAAAGATAAGTGTCAAGTGTGATATTCTCTAGGGTGATCTTCCTCCCTGTTTCTATATGCAGGCTAATATTAATGCTAATAATAATGTTAGCATTATTACAATGCTCCGTCAGTCCACTGAGAAGGAGAGAGGGTCCTGACTGCTTACATAGACCTCGCGCTTGTGCTTTGCCCCGGGAACGTGTTAATTTTGTGCTCCTCGTACGAAAGGGAGAGGCTTTTTCCCCTCTTTGGAGTCGCTCCATCATTGCAACGTTGTGCCCTGCTTCTTTATCCTTCTCTCTCTCCCCTCCCTCCAGTAGGATCTGAGGCCAATTTTTATGATCTAGTAGTTGCCGAATTGCACAGACTCCGCTGGTCTGAGGCTCACGTGGCCTTTGTATTAGTCACTACTCCCGGGGGTGCTGGCTGGAGAAAGGAGATGCAGACACGCACGCAAAAACCGGATTGATAAAATTAAAACCACAGGCGCTTGGTATCGCCAGTCTCCAGCCTTCAGAACTAATGAACTCGCTTCCAAATCATCCAACGGGCTTAAAAACCACAAGATTAATAGTACATAGCTGGGAACAGGGCAGGGAATCGCTTTGCCTTTTCGTCTGTGGCCCTTCAAGGTGCACTTCTTTCATATTTTCAAGTTTTTCTCTGCAGCCCTGAGAGTTGGAACTCTTTTTTCCCCCCCATTTTAAATTAAAGCTGAATTTTTTATGCAGGTTCTCCCTTCCTGCAACTGGAGGTTTTAAAGACAGTCATTGAGTATCAAATGGTTTGTAGTAAAATTGAGGATACTAGTCCCTGATCTTTCCTCACCCTATGATGCTTTTTGCTGCGTTACAGGCTGTTGGGGCATTGTTGCTGCCCGGCTGATGCTCGGAGGTCCTGCGTGTTTGCGCTGTAAATGCGGACACGTCGCTCACGCTGTCCTGTACCTAGTCTGAGGCCGTCTTACAGCACGGCTCGGTGTGGCACTGCTTCCCCGCTCTGTTTTTTTGGTTCGTTGCCTTCTTGCTGGGTTAATTGCAACCATACTAACTGCAGGTTGGAGCCCCGTTAAGAACCACTTTACTCGGTCTGAAGCAGTCACCAGGGGAAGACAGGAATAAAGCAAAGGAGGAAGGCAAGTTATTGCTAGAGATCTGATCCAAGAATAGCAAAACCCGGGACTAACTGGGCCATGCATTAAATCTTTGAGACAAATCAATCTTTCATGGAACCAGGGAAGGAGGAAATTACACTTGGGTGCAGTTAAAAGTTCACATGCATCCAATTTTGCTCACCCGTAACTGAACTTATCAGATCCAGTATCACCATTACCGGCCATACGGGACAGTCGTATCAGGGAGCTCACTACCAATTGCCCATTCGGTTCACGGCTCCTTTAGGCGTCCCTGACTTGTTCCCCTCGCTCCCTGTACTTGCTTTGCTGGATTTCCTGTTGCCAGCGATGCCACACACGCAGGAAGGCTCTGCGAGCTCTCAGCTTTTATTTGTTTTAACTTATTTTCGTGCATCCAGGTGGCACTTCTGAGCACAGATCTGTGATCACCGCCCAGGGCATCTGGAGAGAAGTCAGTCTGACCCTCAAAGACCCCTCTGCTTGGGGGTCCTTAACAACTGGAAGCATCTTGTACCTACCAGGGTGTTAGCCCGCCGAGGCCACGTGCCAGCAATAACACGCCACGTTTAATTAAAGCAGTATTTTGTCATCTCCTTCATGTATTATTTGATTATTGCTTCAGAAGGAGCCAACAAATTCTTTGCTTTGTTAGTCCGTTTTGGGGGGAGGTTTTTTAGGGGTGTTCATTTCCCCACCCTCGGGGGGTTTGAACCTTTTAGACAGCTATTGGGATGTTGCTAGTTGAAGTGAGGAAGGCTGTTTTCTACAGGGACCGTATTTGAAGACATTTCTGTTCACTGCAGCTGGAAGCTGTTTTCACTGGGCTAATTTCTTGCTATAAGATCTGTAGCACCATATTGCACGGGAGCCTACGGGGAGCATAGGCAGGGGCAAAATCTAGCAGCACATCTTGGGGAACTCTGTGGGATCTGCAATGTGTGCCGCGATCAGCTGGATGTTGTTAACTCCTGCTTGTCCTTTCTGCTACCCTGATTGCAAGGTCAGGCTGGATGCTGTTAGTTAACATGATTCCTCAAAAGCTCATGGTAATGTGTCCTTGTTTTTTACCACTTGGAAGCCCTGGTCCTCTTGACTCTGGAAGCAGAGTCGAGTCAGTCCCAAGGCTGCTATGACCATTGGGGCACCTTAAATGCTGTGCATCGTTGGTGATTCTTCGGGCAAAGTGACCTGGTGGGACCCATCTCCTCTCCAGGTGCGGATGGTCGTGGGCTCGGAGGGAGCTCATCCGCCCTTTGACAGGTCTTGTTAGTCCTGCTGGGTGTCCACACACCCTCCTCCCCCAGGCCAGTCCAGGTGGGGACGCCGGATTAGTTGCCAACAACCCGACCATGGAACAGGCTGCATTGGCTTACATGGTACCAAATAGTGGACCAAGAGAGGCCTGGCCCAGCAGGGATACAAGCAGAGTCTGAGCAAAATTATCATCAGAAGCTAACAATACTTCTGGGGTTGGAGTTGGGTAATAGGAATACGTGTAATTCTGACTAATAGTTGTGTTCTGAAGCAAGTCGTCTTCGGCAGATCCGTGCGCGGATGTGACCTCAGATGGGCCGTGGTGAATAAGGACGGTATCTAGAAGAGGTCAACATCACCAGTAACTTTGTTCTTTCTCCTCCTTCTCCAGACCCTTCCCTTCCGAGGAGACCACAGAGAATGACGATGATGTCTACCGGAGCTTGGAGGAGCTGGCTGAGTAAGTGGACTTGCAAAATGGAAATTGAAATTAAAAAAAAAATAAATGTTGCAATTCAGTTTTAGCCAAGTATGATAAAATATGACAGCAGGGCTCTAAGGGCTGTTTTGAGATACTTGCCAAGCAGGTTTTTATTTGTGCTGTTACAATCTGTTTTTTTTTCCCCCCATGTAGAGAGCTGGGAGCCATCCGTTCTAATAGAGCTCAATTTATGAGTTGCTCCATAGGGGGTGATGGAGGGGCCAAGGCACTGATCATTCTTTCAAATAATGCTAAATGTTACTGTAAATGCAAAAGAGTTGTATGTAATTCCTCTGATTGTCTGCCTAGGGATTTGCTCAGGGAAGGGAAGGAGTTTCCTGGGATCTGTCCCTGTTTTTCACTGGTGATAGCTGCCCCCCGTAGTTGGGAGATTGCAGGCGGGGGGATAATCCATAAAGAAAGCCTTCAGCAGGGTGTAATTCTGTGCACCCCATGCACACTTTTTAATGCCAACAAGACATGTGGCACCATAGAGTTCACAAACATAGTTTTCTTCTACCAAAGAACTGGTACCCAAAACGTGCTTGGGACAGGACATGCTAGACTAGGTGCTCCATCAGTGAAGTATGACATAGTGGGATCCATTGGGTGACAAGAAAGAGGAAAAGCCCCGTTAGTTGTCTTGTAGCAAATAGAGGTCATGTTTGCGGTCTCTAATCTGTTAGATTAGGTGTGCTCAACCCCCGATCCACAGGTCCCATGGGTGCACAGGGTAGTGCAGGACCAAGCAGACGCAGCGCGGGACCCCAATCCCATCACAGGGGGCTGTGCAGAGGTGGTGTGGGCCCAACTCTGGCCTGCAGGGGAAATCCTGACTTGAAAGGTCTGATCCCACTCATGGACCAGCCCCATGCTGCTCACCTGGCCTGCGGGGCCAAAAGGATGAGCACCGTTGCGTTAGCCTGTGGACAGTTTAAAGACAGTCGAGATGCAATGGGAAGGGAGAAAGGTAGGATTATAACCTCAATTCACAGATGGAGACCTGAAGCGCAGAGACACTGAGTAGCTCGTTGAAGGTCAGCTGGGAAATCTATGGAAGCGGTTGGATTTGAACTCGAGTCTGGTGCCTAAAGAGGAGTGGGAAGGGGGGGTTCGAACTCTTTCGTGTTCCTGACCCCGTATAAGAGATGCTCTTCTGTCTGTTGCCACCTGTTCGAGGCTGAAATCGGGGGGCTTGTCCTCTAAGTTGATAGTGGAATAACCATTGAAGCAAGGTTTCCACATGCGCCTATGGGTGCTGTTGTCTGAGAGTTGAAGCCTAAAGGAGCTTGATACTCTTTGAAAATGCCAGCTAGCCTCTTTGAGGTTTGTAACACATGATTGATTGCTGGTGTATATTCCTGATCGTAGGGTGTATTATGGGAAAGCCTTTGGGACATCTGTTTCTATATTTATCTGCATCTCTGATGTCTGTCTTTGTCTTTTTCTATCATTTTGCTGTTGTGACAACATTCAGCCTTTTAAACAACCTTGAACCGAGCCTACAGGGCGAAATCTCAGCCTTATTGAAGTTAATGGCAAAATTCCCATAACGTGCAATCCGTTTCACGTGGGGAGAAAACCCGTATGGATGGATGCCTGCCTTTATACAGTTAAATATTATTGTTCCCCAACATAAATAATAAGGCTTCTTAATCCAATGAGTTCCTTATGGCTTCAGTTATTGCAAAAGTAACTCATAAATTACTGTTACGTGGAACAGAGGGTATTTGAATCTCTGTCTTGTGGTGTTGTCTTAGCAGCTACACTTTAATATAGTTTCACTCAGAAGGGATCCTTAAAAAAAATAACACATTTTTCTTTCAAATGGGGTTAAAATCTCTTCGCTATTGGGCCGTAAAATTCCTGATTCTCGCGCGTACTCATATTTTTAATTGGAGACATGTTTGTGTGGGAAGTCCTGGTGCCTGTGAAAGTGGTGAAGGCTAATGAAGCTGGCCGCGATCCAGACAGAGCATCGTCAGGGCAATATTTCCCTACTAATAAGACTATTTGGTGTGATGTGCTCAGGACAAGGAACAAGTTATTATGCCTTTTAAACAGGATTTGCATCTTTAACTGCTTTGCTGCGGGTTTACACGGCTGCTAGCAGGTGACATTTCCTTTCTGTCATATAGAGCCTATGTTATCATAGGGTCTGGGGGCTTCACTTACCATCATTGGGGGCTTTCCCTTCATAATGCCCCTGCTAAGTTACTCCCAGTTTGTGAACTGGGGACTAAGGCATAGGGAGAGTGAAGACAATTGTAAAAAATGCCTCGGCCCCAGATTTTTAAAGGGACAGGTTGGTCAGTGGCTAATGTGAGCTAGATGCCCAAATCCCTTTAAAAATCTGCCTGTAAGGCAGTTAGGTGCCTGTGTTCAAAAGTGGCTTGGTTACTTGGGTATCTCACTCCCGTTGTTCTTTTCAGTAAAGCTTACGGTACTTTTCTTTACTGTCCCAACTTCCCTCTGACTTCTAACAGCACATTAAAATCCTGGTCTCGATGTCTCTGAGCATTCAGGTCCATTAGCGATGGGCCTGTGCACAAGATCCCAAAGTCTGATGGTGTTTTAGGCATGCCATAGTAGCTTTCAGCCCTCGTGGATGGGTATGTTAGGCATGTAGGAAAATGGCTTAGGAAATTGCTGGTGTTAGCATCTCCAAAGCTCATAATGGTAGAAAATGAGCTTGCCTACATGGGGATGTCCTCGACTCAAGCGTTACATCTTCAAGAGGGGAGGCATGGGCAGTCCGACGACACATTACTAACCGTCTCCTTGTAAGAGACCAGAGAAAGAGAGACTTTCATTTGCAATGCACAATACTGCATAGTGTGCAACCATGTTACGTGCTGGCCAAGCCACAGGATGGCATGAGAAAGCTCTTTCTTACGGCCCAGCCTCCAAACAGCGAAACAAGGAGGTCATTCATGAGCTGGGAATGATTCAGTCTATCCATCATCTTTGCATTTATATCACTTACAACCGAGCAGCCTTGGGAAGGTATTGAGCCCATCCTAAATGTTTTCGAAGGGTAGGAAATGATTTTCACAGCAAGCTATAAAACGATCCAATTCGAGGGAGCAAGCTATTGACCGTGTGTAGCAGACTTCTGTCCATGATGCTGCTTCCCTTTCTTTTTCTTTCTGTTTTTTTGCCATGTTACGGTTTTTCCTAGTCAGCTGTACAAGTGCGATGCCATTGCAAAGGATCGGATCGATCTCTTGTGTTTTTTTTCTTCGAGCAGGTGATGATTCTGTTCATAAATGCCCTACCAAAGCTTTATGAGCAATGAAACCAAATCCTGACATCTTCATTCACTTTGGTCTGGCAGGTTACTCCTGACATGGGTCAGCCACTGGAAAGAAATGTGAATTTAGGGAGGAATTGCCAAAGTTCACAGCCTCAGCCTCGGCTTCGAATCAGGGGGGATTTTAGCGTTGGCTTCCCTGAGAACAGACCTAGGCCTGTTGTGAACGTCTTGCCCTTAGTGCTTCTCTTTCAGCAAAAGTGTGAGTTTATGACCCTATGCATAATGGAATAAGCTCAATATTCGCACTTTGGTGGATGGGTAAATGCAGGCAGACAAATCCTATTCACTTCACTTGCGTGGTTCAAATGGGTGAAATCCTGGTCCGTTGAAGTGAATGGTACAACTCCTATTGACCTCAGCAAGACTACTCCTACGTAAGGTGACCACGGTTTGGCCCATATGTGCCACTGTGTCTTGGGGAGGGCTTGGGCTGCTGCTGATAGGGATATTTTCAATGGAAAATGTAGTTTCTGCAAAAATCAAGAATTTTCATGGGAACATTTTTTGGGGGGAGGGGGTTTCTGTCAAGCAAATCAAGGTGAAATGCCAAGTTTGGGTGTGTTGGACCAGAACTGCAATGTTGTAGTTTTGCTTTTCTGTTGAAGTGACTTGAAATATTTTGTTTTGTGCCAGCAGTTTCCCTGCCAGTGCGTTGGCTCATGGAAGTTGTAGCTTCCACCCCAACTTGCTCTGACGGCCACGGGTCCCCAAACGAGCGACATCTCCAAAACTGCAGTGGGAATTTCTCTTGGATGGGGTTTTATGGTGACTCGGGAGACTACATTTATTTTAGCAGGTGTAGTCTGGCCAGTACATCGAGCAAGGGGAAAGTTCGTTCTGTAATTCCAGCTTGCCATTAGGCAATACGCGACTGTGGAGAAAATAGTGAACTGACTGCATTAATAGTGAGCAGACCTGAAATGAAGCATTTTAGGACAGGTCAATACACCTGAAGAAATGTTTCAATTTGGGGAATAATAACATGGTTTTGATTTTTATTTTTTTTTTTAAACGAAACATTTTGGTGCCTGAAACAATAAAATTCTGTCCCATCGAGAAACCCAAGATTTTTCCTTCTTGTCCTTGAGTCTCTGATAAAGGCCCAAGGTTTGGAAGCAGAAGGGGCTGAGCTCTAATACTGTCGCCCACTTGAAGCTCCCAGGGGATTTGCAGAATAGGGACCCCCGTGAAGCCCAGGCTGGTCACAGGATTGCCACGTTCGTCTTGTAATTGTGCTGAGAACAGCAGCAAACGTCCTGTGGCAAAAGACAAAAACCCTGAGCCATACAAATCAATAGAAACGGGATCAGCGCAGTTATGCGCGTTGCAGAAACAAGCTGGTTTCAATGCAAGTCAGATCGCCACAGGGAAATCGGTGCGTGTGAAGACTGCTTGCGCCTGCATGTTTCGCGGCGGCGCTTTCGGATTTGGGGGTCTGCGCAGATTATTTTGTGCTGCGCTGAATTGCACGGCAGGCGATCCATTCAGAAAATCAAGCCAGATAATTGTTTGGAACAATGCATGATATAAATAGAGCTGGTCATTTGGAAAGGGCAAGGAGAAGCAAAACACTTCCAGGGAGCTAGAAAGTTGCTTAATTCCTTACCTCCTTCTCTTGTGATTTCTTTTGTTAGGCAGATAGCTGACTGAGGCAAGCCAGGAG